CATGGTACCAGGAAGGAGAGGCAGGGGCCGACCGACACAAAGATGGGCACAGGATATAAGTGACTAATTGAGTATAAAAGTACATGAGGCGGCAGAACTGGCGAGAGACCCAGTTTCTTTCAGGCAGACTGTGATGAGAGCGACGTTCTGCAAAGGACCTGCTAAATGATGATGATTTGGTCTATAAAATATATATCTAACTTTATATACCCTATACGTCTGAAGGCGGGGAAGAGAGTTCTTTAGTTTTACTACACTGATAATTAACTAGTGAATACTTGACAATATCTGGCAACCACAGATTCGGTCATTTCGTAATTTGAGAGATCCCCTAAACCGTGCTTTGATGGACAACTTTAGACCTGTCCAACCATTGAACTCTAGAACTGTCACAACTAACTTTGATCCAGGTATGTTACTAAACTTAAATGTTTGATCTTGATGTTACTAAAGACATTGATTCGAGCTGAATAAACTGAGTAAATAGTAAATTGCATAAATTGAAAAAGGTAAGTTGAATAAATCGAATGAGCTATGTTGCTAAATAATTTAATATTTGATCCAAGTATATTGCCCGCCCACCTCCCCCTCCCACACACACACACAACTTGTTATGTCCGGGTGGTTTTACGATACTAATTGATCTAGGTATGTTGCTAAACAAGATATTGTTTTATCAGGGTATCTTACTGTATAAACAGTTTGATCCGGGTACCCTGCTAAACTAGTTAGTCTGATCCGGGTACAATGCTAAATAAGTTAATTTGATCCAGATCTGTCAATAACCTGTCGCAACAACACACTTAACCCACCACTACCTGAGCAGACATATCAGTTTTAATATACTTTAACATAGAACATAAACAATTTACCCCAGAGGTGGTTCCCTCAACCTACCACAACCGACCGTGGGGAGGGTGGGGGCGGGGAGGGGGGTTTACAAGCACCACTCACTCTAAGGTCCTCCTGTTAGTTTGATCCGGGTATCTTGCTCTTGTATTTTTCTATATGAATTGTTTGATCCGCGTCGTTGCTTACTAAGTTTGATCTTGGTATATTGCTAAACATGTTAGTTTGATCTGGGTACGTTGCTAAGTAGGTTAGTTTGATGAGGGTATGTTGCTAAATAATTTAGTTTCATCCGGGTATGTTGCTAAATAATTTACTTTGATCCGGGTATGTTGCTAAAAAAGTTAATTTGATCTGGGTACGTTTCTAAGTAGGTTAGTTTGATCAGGGTACGTTGCTAAAGAAGCTAGTTTGATCCGGGAATGTTGCTAAACAAGTTAGTTTGATCCGGGTATGTTGATAAATAAGTAAGTTTGATCCGGGTATGTTGCTAAATAAGTTAGTTTGATCCAGGTATGTTGCTAAATAAGTTAGTTTGATCCGGGTACGTTGCTAAGTAGGTTAGTTTGATCCGGGTATGTTGCTAAATAAGTTAGTTTGATCCGGGTATGTTGCTAAATAAGTTCGTTTGATCCAGTTATGTTGCTAAATAAGTTAGTTTTATCGGGTATGTTGCTAAATAAGTTAGTTTAATCCTGTTACGTTGCTATGTAGGTTAGTTTGATCCAGGTAGGTTGCTAATGTAGTTAATGTCTGATCTAGACATGTTAACGAATAAGTCGACAAATGAAAGTACATAAATAAAAAACCTTTGTCAAACAAATGGTTTTATAAAACAATCGTGTGTCACAGGGTCAACGCCCACACCTCTATTCTAGCCCTCTTTCGACTTTATGGTTTAAAAAAAAAGAGTGGGGCCGATCAAGGATTATACATCAAGCTAGTTTGGGAGCATGAGTTATATAGATGATAATAATAATTAATAATAATTATAATAATGTGTTGCAACATAAAGAATCTGTTATTTTTTTAGGGACAACGGCATGATTACAGAGCTGGACACGATCTAAAGCTTAGACATAAGTTCTCTGTAATCAGGACAATATGTAATGAATAAGAAATAGAAGTGCATCACATTAAGGAGTGAACATGTATAGACCGAGGTCGGTGTCACTTCCAAAGTACGTCATTGGAATCCAGCTATGAATTCTTTTAGTGCCCAGCAACGCACCCTGCGTTTGTTGATTTTTACTGTGCGGTTTACTTGCTTCTTTGAACTCCTTCTACTCCCTCAATTAGTACATAACTCACAAGTCTTCATGGTTACTTTGATATGTTCTGTCTAACAATTGTTGTATTTTAATTGTCTCCAATCGAAGTATCTGTCAGCTCAAAGTAACATCTTCTAAGAATACAAGAGATACAGCTAGGAATAAAAGAGTAAAACCGCAATAACGTCTCACGGGTCAGACATTTATAAAATAGAGATTGTTACAAAAAGCATTACCCTTTTAGCCAAATAACAGTTGACATGACTGTTCTTAGCTAGCCTGATAGGTTTGTTATGCAGTTAGGACATGCTAAGATATCAGTTAAATCTCTTCTTAGTTAAATAATTTATTGACCGTATGTTATCATAGATGAGTAAAAGAAATGATTTTTTCCATGCCTTTATGCTTATTGAGCATATAATGGTAGTATTGGTAGACTTATAGTAAGTTATCATAGTGTTATCATTATCATTTTTTGTTTAACCCACACATTGTTTCTTTGTTTTCTCTTCTCTGTTATCGTCTTTTAAGTAACTGTCTTGTCTGCATTATATTTATTTTTACTGTGGTACATTATGTATTTAAGTCTTTAAAATATATTTGCAGATATTCAATGGGGTTATGCACAGAGCCACTTTGATGGTAAGTTCATACAATCCTTTGGACAAAATTACAAACAGGACAAGTTTGTTTATTTTTTTTTTTTTTTTTTTATAATTGTGGCCAGGGTAACAAGCCATTAATTTTAGTTTGGCTTAAAACGATCAAAAATCTGGCACATGTTCATTGTGGCCATAGAAGATTGGGTGACTAAAATCCGGCCTCATTTTGGCTTTACAGACTGAACCCGCAGTCGCTCCAGTGGCTGCTGCACGATACACGTGCTCAGCATCACGTGTTCAGGCAACTGTGTGGGGATGGACGGTTAGTCTGGCTCGTTGATTATGATGTTGATGATTTCTATGGTTATTTTCGCTTAGATATAAATTGTTGACCATTGAAAATTTGTGTAGGTAAAAATATCAGTATGTATCGTCGCTCGGAGATATGTGATTTTATGTGAATTATTATCTGTCCCAGACGAGGTACAGAGCACATGTTTGTGTGTGTAAAAGCGATGTCATCTGTAAAGTAATGTATCTGTGAAGCGCTTAGTTTTGTGATTCATTTAAAAAAAAACAGACGTTAAATGTGATATCTATAGTTCCAGTTATTTTAATTAGAGTTAGGACTGGTATTTACTAGGCTATAGTTTTACTTGTACTGCTGATTAGACTTTGTAAAAAACAATCTTTTCTGGGCTAGAACGAGATGGTTCTAGTCCCCACCTAACGAACTCTTTTTTTTTTCTTTTTACTGAGGCAGCTTGAGGTAAGTTTTGTTCCCCACATAGGTCACCACACGGCTAGAGCTCACGACACGGCTAGAGCTCACGACACGGCTAGAGCTCTTGTAGGTTTGGAGTCGAGATAGGTTGAATGAGCACATTTTTATATTATCCTTTATTATGTTTCATCTAATACAAGATCCTCGTTAGGCTTTGATTCTAGTACATAATGATTGGGGGGAGGGGGAGGGAGCAGGCTTACAATTTAAGTTAAAGCATTGTTTGTGTCAATCGTTGAATCATCAAAGTAAGAACTCAAGAACGTATATCGGATATGTTTACAGTCAGCACAGGTGTGAGATATGGTTGTGTGCTTTCGCAGATGATACAGAATTGATAGCTAAAAACGCATGAAACCTACAACAACTGTCAGATAATGTGGTACTAGAGTGCAAAAAAGGGGACTTTCCTTGTATACAAAGAAAACAAAAGCAATGGTTATATTGTGGAAGAAGTAACTAAAAAATTTGACATAGCAATAGAAGAGAGAGAGAGAGAGAGAAAGAGAGAGAGAGAGAGAGAGAGAGAAAGAGAGAGAGAGAGAGAGAGAGAGAGAGAGAGAGAGAGAGAGCCTAACCATGTCAATACATTCAATAATATGTGGGACATTCAAAACATCACATGGAGGATGTGCGACAGAAATTAAGAGCAGCACTGGCCAGGCTAAGGCAGCCTTTCAAAAGATGAACAGTATCTTGTGTAATAAATCACTCTCGTTGAACATCAGAAAACGAGTACTAAAATGCTATATAGAGCCTTTTCTGTTGTATGGTGGTAAATCTTGAGATGTAAAACAAAAAAATTAAGGAAAGTTTGGAGGCAGCTAAGATGTGGTTCTTGAGAAGAATGTCGCGAATACTTTTTTTGACTGCCAGAATAAATAACAGTGAATGCCTGGCTAAGGAATGTATAACATTATATACAACAATGAGAAGAAGACTTAGAGTATTTTGGCCATGTGATGAGAAAAGGAGCACTGGAAAATATCATGACGACTGGAAAGATTACTGGTAGAAGAGGCAGAGACAGCAAAGAGAAATGATGGTGAATGGCTTTAGACAGTGTCATGGAGAAATATCACTAATGGAATCAGTCCAGACCATTAAAGACCGATATCTGTGGAGATGCATGAGCGCCTACGCCAGCTGACAAGGCACGTGATAATATGGAATGGATATAAAATTACTGTAATTCCTTTTCTTACATTGTGGAAGAATGGTCTTAATGCGAGCTCCTTTTGCTAGTCATACTGCTGTGATTTCCATGTATCCATGTACCAAATATAACACTATCATCAATATAGATGAGCTGCTCAGGTACCTATTAACAGTTATTCTCCATGAAGCTGCCATGACTGCCTCAATCTCCATTCTCATACTTCAGATTTTATCCTATTGGTTTCGTTTTGATATAAAAACCATAGAACAAAACTAACACTTCAATCAGTTGAAGAGTTTTTTACTCTCTAATTCCTAGCCGAACACTGGGGTCAGTACTACTCCAAGTGTGCTGGGGAAAACCAGTCCCCTGTGAATATTGTCGTAGGGAACAGCCTGTACGACACGACCATCGGAAGTTTCAGCTTCAAAAACTATGACAGCATCGTGGGTCTGACAATGGTATTGAAGAACAATGGCCACACAGGTAAATATTCCCACCTCCTGTCCCCAAGTATCTATTCTTTTAGTTCCAAACTTCCTTTGTGGGTTCTGTGGCGCACTAATGGGTAATCAAGAATAGACCCAATGCCTACACAAATGCATGTTGCAAGAGTTGACTAATTCGGGCCGGCTTCTTTCGAAGTCGTCATACATCTGCCTGAGAGGCAAGGATCCAACAGTCTGCATACAAAGATCTATAAAACGGATGTACACACACCATTCAGTTCTGAAACAGGAATAGAGTCCATTAGTGGACAAAAAACCAGAACTTTCCGACAGTACTCACAGTTGGTGGAGGCAAAGAAGTTTCTAGCTATTAATGATTACAAGTTCATCCTCAACTCTTTCAAGTAAAGTTCGTTCATTCGATCATTTGTTTGTTCATTCCTCGCGCTCTGAACGTTTCAGTGTTTCGGTTCGCAAGTACAAGTGATTGGGACATCCTTGACATACACACACACATACAAACACACACACACACACACACACACACATGGACAGACGCACAGACTGACAGACACAGATGCAGACACAGACACACACACAGACACGCATTCACACACAAACAGATTCGCACACACATACACGCATACACATACAGACAGACACGCACATATAGACGTAGACACACACTGACACAGACGCACACGCATAAACGCACACACATACACACAGACACACACGCACGCACATACACACACATACATGCACACACAGACATACACGCAAACAGACAGGCACAGATGGATGTATGGATGAATGGATGAACGGATGGATAGACAGAGAAAGGGGGATAGTGATGGAGATAGAGACTAATTGATAGACAGACAGACAGATAGCTAGACCAATAGATTGACAGAGATAGAGAGACAATCTGGTAAACTGGATTAAAATTGATACAATCGTAACGATCCTTGTGCTTTTTATTAATATCCTTCTTATCACTGATTGACTCTAATATTTGAACATTTAGTCAGTATTTATAAAAAAGTAAAGTAAAGATCCTTTTTTTAAACGCCTCAGGCGCATCGGGCATATGGAAAGAGCACCCATATTTTTACAGTTCAATCGCCACTAGATGGGTAATTTGGTCGGCATTACGCCGGCCGTCTTTACTTCCCCAGGATATACATCCTGGTACCTATTTAAGGCTGGGTCGACCTAAGACATCCCATACCATGATAAAAATCCACGCAGCCAGCAGTGGTTTTCGATCGAGGTATGCTGTAATTACGAGTCAGACTCGCAACGCCTATGCCACAGACGCCGCTTAGTCAGTATTTATAAGTATGGTTAAACAGCTGAATTATAAGTTTTATTAACACCTTGACTTTTACAGCACAAGTGGATATCACTAAAGGAGATGTCCTCATTTCTGGAGCCGGTCTACCAGATACTTACAAAGCAGCGCAGCTACACATTCACTGGGGTTCTACAGACATGATAGGATCAGAGCATACCCTGGACAGTCGGACCTATCCTATGGAGGTAGGTTACTTTTGTTTACGATGATTAACTGCTGGGTGAATCATAAAGAGGCCACTGTTGTAATCGTTAAGACTGATGCAGTGATGTTTAGTTACCTGAGTTCTGAAGCTTGTTTGAGCTCTGAATTTGAGTTTTGAAGCTTATCTGAGTTTTAAAGCTCATCTGAGTTTCAAAGCTTCTCTGAGTTTTAAAGCTCCACTGAGCTCTGAAGCTTATCTGAGTTCTGAACCTTACCTGAGTTCTGAAGCTTGTTTGAGCTCTGAATTTGAGTTTTGAAGCTCCTCTGAGTTTTTAAGCTCCTCTGAGTTTTTAAGCTCCTCTGAGGTTTTTAAGCTCCTCTGAGTTTTTAAGCTCCTCTGAGGTTTTTAAGCTCCTCTGAGTTTTGAAGCTCCTCTGAGTTTTGAAGCTCCTCTGAGTTTTTAAGCTCCTCTGAGTTTTGAAGCTCCTCTGAATTTTGAAGCTCCTCTGAGTTTTTAAGCTCCTCTGAATTTTGAAGCTCCTCTGAGCTCTGAACCACATTTTAGCTCTGATTCTCATCTGTTGTGAACCTTATTTAAGTTCCGAAGCTTCTCTGAACTTTTAATCTCGTTTAAGTTCTCAACTTTATCTAAGCTTTGAACCTCCTCTGAATTCTTAAGCTTTTTTAAGCTGCTGTAAAAATGTTCCCCCACCTCCAGTGCCAAGGTACAACTTCCATGGGACTGTAAAAGACATCAGGGCCCCTATGTTGTCTCCAAGAAAAAAAACAAAAACTGCGCTGCGCAAGACTGACACGGACTAATGTTGCTTCTTCAAGCCCACCAACCCACTAATGTTACTTCTTCAAGCCCACCAACCCACTAATGTTGTTTCTTCAAGCTCACCAACCCACTAATGTTACTTCTTCAAGCTCACCAACCCACTAATGTTGCTTCTTTAAGCCCACCAACCCACTAATGTTGCTTCTTCAAGCTCACCAACCCCCTAATGTTGCTTCTTCAAGCTCACCAACCCACTAATGTTACTTCTTCAAGCTCACCAACCCACTAATGTTGTTTCTTCAAGCTCACCAACCCACTAATGTTGCTTCTTCAAGCTCACCAACCCCCTAATGTTGCTTCTTCAAGCTCACCAACCCACTAATGTTACTTCTTCAAGCTCACCAACCCACTAATGTTGCTTCTTCAAGCTCACCAACCCACTAATGTTACTTCTTCAAGCTCACCAACCCACTAATGTTACTTCTTCAAGCCCACCAACCCACTAATGTTGTTTCTTCAAGCTCACCAACCCACTAATCTTGCTGTAGAGGCGCACCCACTGGTGCCTGTACTCATCCACTAATGCTTATATAGACCCAACCACCCCAACCCCTAATATTGCTTGTATATACCCACCCATTGCTTAACAGATCCACCGAATAATATTGCATGTGCACATCCACCCATTTATGTTGTCTGTACAGATCCATCAATTTTAATTGCCTGTACATACCCATCCCCTAATATTGCCTGTCCAGATTCATTCACTAATATTGCTTGTACATACCCACCATTTAATGTTGCCTGTACAAATTCATTCACTAATATTGCTTGTACATACCCACCCCTTAATATTACCTGTGTAGATCCACCCAAGAATATTGCTTGTAGGTGCCTACCCCTTAATATTGTCTGTACAGATCCACCCAGTAATATTGCTGGTGCATACCCACCCCTTAATGTTGCCTATGTAGATCCTCGCATAAATTTTGCCGGTGCATACCCACCTACTATAGATCTAGATACCCATTTTCATGTTCAGCGCTTTTTTTTCCCCTTAAATATTTTCGTCCTTTTTTTTAATGATACAATGACAATAATGGAATATTACTTTCACGTCAGTTAACAATCTCTTTCTGTGTTCTAGGTTCACATTGTCCACTTCCGAACATCGCTTGGGCAACTGAAGGATGCCGCCTCTGTTCCGGACGGACTGGCTGTTCTTGGCTTTTTCTTTGAGGTAATCACACATTTTGGGAACCGTTGAGACGCTGTGGCTAGATAGACTAGGCATGGGTTGGTTAGCAGAACATTATCTGCGACTGGGTCGCCTATTGGCTGGCCAGTAGACGACTTCACACATCGCCAGTCGGGATAATGTTTGGGTCTGTCTCTTTTTATCGCATCGATACTTCAAGAGTCGTTTTCAGAGCAAGTTTGTGGCGGAAAATGCTAAGCTATTTTTTGTGTGCCAAAGAATATAGTCACAGTTATAAACAAAGGCTACCCCTTAGGGGATGCAGGTTTAACATGACGATTTTGTTTTTTCGCAAAACAAGGAAGGAAGGATCTGCAGAGCAAGCGTATTGGTTTCAAACTGTGACTAATTTGACGTATGCTGAGAGACACATCCTTGATGTCAATCCAGTTGCGCATACTCAAATAGGATCTTTAGTGGCTAAACACGGTCCTACCCACCGAATGTATCCTGCAGCCCGAGAGGGGTAAGAAGCTATATTACCACTGAGAGAGAGAGAGAGAGAGAGAGAGAGAGAGAGAGAGAGAGAGAGAGAGAGAGAGAGACTGACTCTTAGTGTATTCAGATGTGAAGCAACGACCTTCAGATCCGCAGGCGAGCGTCCAGCGGCTACACCACGAGGGCTCCTGATGGTGTCAGTTATGAGAAGCAACCCGACCAACAGTCCGCCTGTCTTTTCTGTTTCATTGGGCGTTGACAATCATCGAGACCTGGTGCACACTTCCCACTTAATCGGTCTTTCCAGGCTTCTGACCATCAACTTTGCACCGAGAGAGAGAGAGAGAGAGAGAGAGAGAGAGAGAGAGGAGAACAAGAGAGATCTATATCTCAGGGATTTAGCCAAACTGGATTAAAGTCAGTAAAATCATATCGATCACTGTGGTTTTATTTGATCCAATTTATCTTTCTTTTTTTTTTTTTCCACTGTCAGCTCAATTCCAGAGCCCACGCGACATCCGCTTTATTATAAAAGCTTTATTGTAAATTATCACATCACACATTTTGTTACAAATTATGAACTAAAATACAGTGTCCTCAGTGTCAGGTGTTTTTGCCCCTCCACAATCTGCAATCATCAGCAGCATGTTTAAGGATGTTGGCTGACACTCCTTTACGGCCTGATAAAAGGTTGTAGAGAATCATCTCGTATTGTCTTGCTACAGATCTTTCCAGTGGTCACTTGTTCTTTTTTTTTTCTTGTGTGGCGGGTAACTTCGCTTTACACTAGCGAATGCACTATGTGCAATTCACAGAGGGAATTACAAACAGTAAATCTTAATAAGGGTTTATATTACCCCCAGCCTTGCTGGTTAAATTAGAGGATTTGGGGTTTGCCCACATCTGATTCCCTACTGTTATTAAACTTGTATATTTAAATGTTCTTAAGTTCACTGACAATGTTTACAGTTAAAATGAAACTCAATAAAACTGTAGGAACATTAAAACTAACATTTATTAGGATTTTCAAATCAATATAAATTCAAATGATAACTAAATAAAATGGCTGTGGATATAAAATTATGGATTGGGAAAGCAACAGATGTTCCCACTTAGCTGTAGCTTAGGTTTCTGTTGTCAGCTTCTGACTAAGCTTCGGAAACACATCAGGCAGGCCGAATCTTCCAGTCCAGTCCGGACAATCGGGTATCTGCAGCTTCTTATGGATCTACCACCTGGACTACAATCTGGAACTAGAACAATAGAACAGTCCTTATACCAACAGTCAGGAAGGTTCTAACTGGAGACAACAATACCTCCAGTCTTTAAACTGTTACACTACACACATATATATGGAGTAGGATAGTAACAGGTGTTCACATTCCACTGGTATAGAATGGGAATGTGTACAGAACATGGTCCATAATCCTGATGGGGAAATATTTAGGAAACCAGTTTCATGAATACTCTCAAGAACAAGAGTTTACAGCACACAAAAAGAAAGGACATTCCTCAGTGTAAATTGTTCTGATGTCTGCACACTAGTACTCCTTTGAAGGGTTAACATGCTTACACACACAGACATACAGTCATATTTCACAATATTCTCATTTTAACCACATGGGTTCACATCACAATGAATGAGAAGCAGGGAGTGAGTTTACCAAGACCAGGAACTCATAACAGGTGCTTTGCACTGTTTGAAAATAAATGGGATTGACATATCTCCATCAATATATTGGGTGCTGAGATAGATGTCAAAATACAATCATAGATGACAATGGGCTTTCCATCTGTCACAGTATTAACATAAAATATACAACACTCACTCCAATATCTAAATCCACACATGTGCTAATCTTATTCAGCAGAGTTTAGAAGTGGTGAGGGGTGAAATATAATTATTACATTTGTAAGGCCAGCTGCTGTAAAACTGAAATGTATTCCTAGTAATAGGGAAATATATCTACAACAATAATAATTACAAGCAGGGGCCATACATCTCTTTTCTGCTTCTTCTTCTCTGACAGTGTGAATATTAAATTCAGCCTCACTGTGTTATTCACTTTCCAAGCTCTTAAACTAGTCTCAAAATTATCTGGACTAAATCTAAATTAAAGCAAGACAGTGATTTATTAAGCTAATATCACCATGAGGTAAAAATCAACTTAGAAGGGATTAGGTATAATGAATATACACTTCATTCCTTTTTAATTGTCTAAGCTGGAAACAGGAACTGGCTGAGCTTTCACATGAGGACATAATTATCACTTAATTAATATAAGTATAATTATTAAAAATACCAATGCACGTTTCTAGTAGCCAATAAACATTAATTCAATCATCAAATAGATAATATGTTTGCATACATGTACATACTAGATCATAAACGTGGTTAGTGAGGATAAAGAAATTTATCATAGTTTTTGAGCCATGTGGGCATTAAATTTCAGAATTTAACCTGTGGAATTAATTCAGAGGAATAAGCAGCAATACATCAAATTAAACTTATTCTTTTAACTCACCCCTGGCAGGGAATTCAAACAGAAAATTGGACCACAGGCGGACTGAAACTTTAGTCTGAACCGGTCAATTTCTGAATTGAAAAGGGAACAGGAAGTCAGGAGGAAGTAACTCTTCAGTCCCCCTTGCACTACTCTTCGCCTATATTACCTTTCAACTCTTTAATTATAATTTTGCTCCAATGAAGCATTAAGAAAGGGGTAAGAAATTTCTTAATTAATCCAGTGTTATTATGCTAATTAAAAGCAATAGGAAAATGTTTAGAACTTTGGTAATAATATTATCTAAACAAAGCACTTTTTAAAAGGACAGAAACAGCTGTCCAGACCAGCTCGTCACATCTTGTCATAACATACACCAAAGATGATTAATGTTTCTCGCTTTTATTTGTGATGTTTTTCGCTCTCGCCTCTTTTAAAACATCTGAGTTGCTCGTTTTTTTTGTTCAAAGAATTCTAAGGATTTATATGGAAAACCACATCTCCAAGACCTAAACAATATGTTTGGCTTGTTCGTTAATTGTCCAGGATTCACAACCATATTCTGTCTCTAAACTCCAACGATATGAGTTGAGTTGAGTTGTTTCAAGAACCGACATCATAGCACTCGGGGCATTCCCATAAGCGCTCCGTCCCTATTTCTAGCAGCCAGTGCAGAGTTCCGATACTAATGGTGCCAGTAGCATTCTGACTGAACGTTCGTCTTGCCTTTCCTCTGAGCTTCAAGCATCTGCCAGACCCCTTGTCACTCTCCGCTGAATCAGTCTCACCAGACTGTGGTGACCCATCTGCTCCTTCGAACTGTAAACGATATAAATTTGTTATAACAGAAATACTCACGTAAATGATGTTCTTACCCTCCCCCAAATCCCATCTTCTTGTGCAACAGGTCTCAGCTTTAGATAACCCAGCACTGAAGCCCATAATTGATCAACTGAAACGTATTGAAATCCCAGGTAGGTCATAAATAGCATAAACAAGCCACAATTACTCGTGCTACCACCGCTTAAATTTTTTTTTTGGGGTGGTTTTTTTTGTTGTTGTTGTTGTCAGTAGCAGTTTTGTGTCTATAGACATTGCAGTTTAACAGATGATAGGTAGCCGAACTAGGGCACGCTCGGTCGCTTCGTATGTTGTGATGCTGTGAAGTCTTTGGCTGTTAGAGTTTCCTACAATTCATCGTCTTCTCGGTCTCCCTCTGCGTCTTGATGTTTCCAGTGTCATGTTTGTTTTTTTTGTCATAGTTTATTGTTTATTGTTTAAATAAAGCCTATTCCCTTAACCAGGGGATCTGGCCGACGCTCAACACTCAGGGGAGGGATGAGACGGATATATATTGGTTGCTGGTACCATCGGAATTGGAACTCTTTGTTTGCTGCTGAATATGGGGACTAAGCACTTATGGGAATGTCCCGAGTGCTGTGATGTCTATTTATAATTCAACATTCAACACTATTCCTTTAACAAATGCACACCAGTGTGTCCTGTCATTTGCAAAGTTCTCGTCTCTCTCTCTCTCTCTCTCTCTCTCTCTCTCTCTCTCTCTCTCTCTCTCTCTCTCTCTCTCTCTCTCTCTCTCTCTCTCTCTCTCTCTCTCTCTCTCTACATTATTTGTCGCTAGTCAGAGTACCAGCGGAAAAGTGTAGGGTTGTGATTACATTGACCCGGATGTGCAGAATGTGGCCAGCGGGTGCTACGGAGGTGGAAGTCCACATGTAATTCACGACAATTCACTCCCAGGTGATCTGATTGATTATCTATACAGATGGTTCGGTGCTGATAGGAAAGAGAAGTGCCTGGAGTTTCGTAGCGAAATCAAGTGGGAAATCTTTAGTGCAAGAGAGACTAGCATATGACACCACAACATCTAGCATGAGAATGGAGGTGGAGGCGGTAACTGCAGCTCTCACCTAGCTAGAGAACAAGATGCATGCACACGTCGTAACTGTAAAAGACTCTGAAAGCATGCTGAAAAAGGTTCAGACAGGAATGCTTCGAGCTGAGTGGCAAGTTTCACTGGCAAGGTCACGGGTAGGGTGCATACTTTGGATCTTTTCTCCATGTGGTGCCGGCGTGGTGGGTAATGAACAGGCAGACAGATTGGCTGTATCGGCACCACTGGGTGGTGAACTGATACATGACAAGGCAGATGTGGTCAGGGCCTTTTAGGAACAAGCAACGGAATCAGTAGAGAAACAAGATTATTATAGCACATGGGTGAAACCAGATGATCTGGCCGGCTCAATTCACTCAGAGGAAAGAAAAGGACTTTAACCAGATTGTGACCGGTACGATCAATATTGGAACTCTGCGCTGGCTGCTGAAGATGAGGACGGAGCATGCACGGGAATGCCCCGAGTGCTGTGATGTCAATTCTTGACTTAACTCAACTCGACTCAATATTTGTGGTTATTTTGTTCTTCAATTCAGTTAGATTTGTATGTGCAAGTTAAATCTAAACGGTGTTAATAATAATGGGGTAACAGCACTCCGAACTGCATGGAAACAGGTCACCTAATAGTTGTTCAGATCCTGTGCCAAGGAAGACCACACTGTCCAATGTCCTTCCTTCCTCCCTTCCCTCCCTCCTTCCTTCCTTCCTTCCTCCTTCCTTCCTTCCTTCCTTCCTTCCTTCCTTCCTTCCTTCCTTCCTTCCTTCCTTCCTTTTTATCTTTGTGTCTTGATGCATTCATATATTTGTGTATTTTTGCTTTTCTTGCCTTCCGTCTCTCCCTCCCTCTTTTTCTTCTGTTTTGTCTGTCCTCCGTCCTTTCTTCTTTCGTGTCTGTCTTCCTTTCTTTCTTTGTTTTATTTTAGCTTTGTGTTTTTGTTTCTTTCGTCGTTTCTCCCATTCAGCTTACGTTCCTTCATTTCTTCCTTCTTTTCTTTTTTCTTTTCTTCTTTTGTGTCTTTCTTCCCTCCTTTTTTTTGCGTTTTTTAACTTTGTGTATTTGTGCCTTTCTTTCTTTTACTTTTTCTTTCTTTTTTTCCGTCTGTCTGTCTTTTTTTTTTTTTTTTTTTTTTTTTTCTTTCTTTCTTTCTTTCCCTATTTACTTTCTTTTTTTCTTTATTTTTCTTTCCTTTTTCTTTTCTTTTTAGTTTCTCTTTCTTTCTTTTTTCTTTTTTCTTTCTTTCTATTTTTCTTTCTTTCTTTTGTTCGTTTGTTCGTTTATTCCTTCGTTCATTTATTCGTCCTTTTGTTCATTCATTCGTGTTCATTCTTTCTTTCCTTCTTTCCTTCCTTTTTTTCTTCTTTCTTTTTTTTTTTTTTTTTTGCATCAGTGTCATTTTGTCTATGTGTATACGTGTCTTTATTTCCTTCTTTTCAATTTTTCTTTTTCTTTTTTTCGTTCGTTCTTTCTTTCTTTCTTTCTTTCTTTCTTTCTTTCTTTCTTTCTCTTCTCTTTTCTTTCTTTCTTTCTTTCTTTCTTTCTTTCTTTCTTTCTTTCTTTCTTTAAAAATCTTTTACTTTAATTTTTTTTTTTTCCCAACAGATACCAGTACACAGTTAAAGGCCTTCAGACTCAATTCCGTTCTTCCTCAAGACAAGGGGAAATTCTTCCGCTACAGCGGCAGCCTAACAACCCCTCGGTGTTTTGAGACAGTCATCTGGTCAGTTTTCAATGACACCATCAAAATATCGAAGTCCCAGGTGGGTGTACGGTCTTGTATATATCCATTGACATCTTTTTTTTTAAATATTTTTTTTACACAAAACATATTCAGTATTAGCATTCTTTCTTTTTTTGTATTTATTAAATATCAGTATATATAATTTATCAGTCATTGACGATCTAGGGACCAGGCTGATATACTGAATACTCCTAGAGAAGAGAGACGTTTGCGAGAGCCAAGTTATGACTTTGAATCTGTAACCATGACCAGACTGCAAGAACATCATGTTAAGAAAGCGAATGGTCGGACAAGAGCACTATGAGGAAAGTCAGACAAGAGTACTATATGGGAATTCAGATAAGAGCACTATGTGGGAAGTCAGACAAGAGCACTAGGTGGGAAGTCAGACAAGAGCACTAGGTGGAAAGTCAGACAAGAGCACTAGGTGGGAAGTCAGACAAGAGCACTAGGTGGGAAGTCAGACAAGAGCACTAGGTGGGAAGCCAGACATGAGCACTAGATGGGAAGTCCAAGAAGAGCACCAGGTGGGAAGTCAGACAAGAGCACTAGGTGGGAAGTCAGACAAGAGCACTAGGTGGGAAGTCAGACAAGAGCACTATGTGGGAAGTCAGACAAGAGCACTAGGTGGGAAGTCAGACAAGAGCACTAGGTGGGAAGTCAGACAAGAGCATTATGTGGAAAGTCAGCGAAGGACTTTTTTTGTGTCTTCAGTTGTTACACACTGCGAGATTTACTGCAGAGGGAATTCGAGCACTTATGGACTGAATGGTCCGATACACATTGTGAATAACATACAAGTCGGCGCTCGGTGGGGGGATGGGGTCAACATCACGCCGGCCGCCTTTACTTCCTGGACTTCACCTAATACCTATTCAAAGTATACCTATTCAAGCGTCTGCTAAGTCGGATGAGCGGATGGTCAGATCAGGTCGGCTGAGAGATAGGTGGGCCCTGTTTAACAGTGTAGGTGTAGACTGTGTCCTGCAGCACTAATAGATTAGTTGTTTCACAAGTATCTTCGATGTATTTCCCTGTGCTATTGTAGTCAGGGTAACCCCAACGTGGCGAGTGTCCGTTGAAGTCACTAACAAGAAGGGTTTTATGGTACTGTGTTTTGTATAGTTCTGGTATGTTGCATGTTGTCTGAGGTGGGCTGTACACTTGTATATCGTATATTTGCTTCCATTGTGCGAGATAGTAATTTTTTTGCACAACTGTAGGGTGAGATGTCGATAGCATTGTTACATCTCCTTGTATGTCATTTCTGATATAGGTCACTATGCCCCGGCAGTCATTGCACTTACAGGCATAACTAGTATATCCAGTGAGATGCAGATCAGAGTCTTTACGCAGGGTTTCTTGTAGGGCACCCACGTGTACCCTGTGGTTGTTTAGCAGTTTGGCAAGTTCAAGTTTCTTATTTCTTATTCCACAGATGTTCAGTTGCAGAGTATTGAGCATCTGTGTATTTTTTGCTGTGCGGTCTGAGTTCTCTTTGATCTCCCTCCCACTCTTCCTCCTCCTGGGGTGTCTGATTTTCCTATTTATCTTAGATTTTCCAGTAGCCAATTTTTCGCACATGACAGCCTGGTTTCCCACTATCTGGCGCGGGCCTTGATAGACGAGGCGACGACCGAACTCGTATGTATTCTTAAATTTTTACATATTCATGGCATTGTGGTGATGGGGCGTCCGTGGATTACCTTCCTTCCCGGGCAGCAGCTAGAAATGCCCTGTACCAGTTCTAAAGGAAATATGGGTTGTGTTTCTGCCTTCCCCTTTAACACGTAGCTAAGGTGGGGCTCACAGTGACAGTGTGCTCATTCCCCGCCACCAGATTGCCTGCTGGTTTCGCTGAGCTCTTCATGGCCTAAGCATGAGTAGTTGGGGCAACGGGATCGTCACGTCCTGAGTCCCTGTCCCATCACGATAGTTTCCAGTATTCAGGGGGGTTAGCGTAAATTTTTCCATTCCTAAGACTGTTCAGCACACCTCTGGCTCCTTCCCTCCCACAGGGGGCAGTACGGTGTGGTGCACCGGGTTTATTATCGAGGTTTGCTCCTCTAGATCCATTGTGTTTTGCCTGGGGATTCGCACCCCTCAGTTACCAGGACTACCTCTGGGAGGCTGTGACTCTTCGCCACGCACAATAATCTTGAGGTAAGAGAGGTTTTGCTAGGTCAAGAGGCTGACACCGCAATGGACGCTCCTTTCGTGAACAGATATTCACTAGACCTAGGGTGAAGTAAGGGGGGGGGGGGGGGAACCACTACCCACAACACCAACACTTCTTACGCTTCGCCTCTCGAGGCTCAGCCCACTGTGTTTCAACAGCGTAGTGTTCTTTTTTGGAGACATCTCGTTAATAATGCTGTTCGTGCAGTCTGACCATGTTTGCTGATTTAATTTTTCAACTGGTACACACAAACTTTTTAAAACTCATAAAAGCATTCAGTATATTACCCTGGTCCATGGCTTGTCAATGTAATTTTTAGACGCCAAGGACAGACAAGATAAACCGTATTGGAAGCTAGAGAGGAAAAAAAATCAAAACTGACATAGAGTCGTTTAGGCTACATACTGTGGGATCTTCTGAGGGGATGGGCGTACTTACCAACTGTAGGGTATGATGTGCACTAGAGATGACCTGTTAACTAATGTTTACATTCACAGCTGGCTGCCTTCAGAAGGCTAAAGTCATCAGAGAAGGATGCAGCTGGAGTTAGGCTTCAGCTAGTAAACAACTTCAGACCAGTGCAAAATCTGAACTCCAGACTCGTCCGGAATAATTTCATTGGTAAGTATAATTGGTGCACATCTCAGAGCTACATAATCTCCTTAGCGCTCATCGGCTGAAACTCCGGCGGAATGCATCATTGCCCATTTACTCGCCGGTAGACGACTTCGTCAGTATTTTATGCTGTCTCCTTTGATTGTATCAATACTACAGGAGTCCTTTTCAGTGCTACTTGGTGGTGTTCAATGCTAAACTATTTTATATGGCGCACAATTGAACATAAAGCCCCACCGTCGGGTATACAAGGTGAACGTGATGGTTTTTTTTTTCCCTATAAAACAACACAACCGGCAAACATTTTCTGATGTTCGTCTATTTCTAGACTTTGATCTATTTCTAAACCATGAGCTTAGTGTGCATATCTGTTCTACAGATCTAGTTAATATATATATATGCAGCCTATAGTTTATCCCGTCTCTTGGGCCAATGTACTCCAAATTCGAAGAAATCGTCCCTAATTAGTTTTCCTTTACGATATGCTTCGTATGGGACAGTGGGTCTATGGGACAGTGGGTATATGGGACAGTGGGCCTATAGGACAGTGGATGGAACTATGGGACGATGGGTCTATGGGACAGTGGGTCTATGGGACGGTGGGTCTATGGGACAGTAGGCCTATGGGACAGTGGGTCTATGGGACAGTATGCATGTGAGTTAATGGGCCTATGGGACAGTGGGCCTATGGGACAGTTGGTCTATGGGACAGCGTTTCTATGTGGCAGTGGGCCTATGGGACAGTGGGTCCATGGGACAGTGGGTCTATGGGACAGTGGGTCTATTTTCCTGTCAAAATTAGGCCACTAATAGACATACCTAATCCAAATTTCAGGGCTGTTTATAATAGTTTTATCAGTAAGTATAATTCATATTCGTGTCCCCCGTGTGGGTTCTAAAGCCCTGTCATAGGTAAAACAATGATGACGACAACAACGATGACGACGATGACGACAACGACGACGATGATAACAATGACGACAACGACGATAACGACGACGACGATGACGACAACAACGATGACGACGATGACGACAACAACGACGACGACGATGACGACAACAACAAGGACGACGATGACGACGACGATGACGACAACAACGACGACAACAACGATGACGACGACGATGACGACAACAACGACGACAACAACGATGACGAAGACGACGATGATCACGACAATGATGACGACAACAACGATGACGACGATGACGACAACGACGACGATGATGACAATGACGACAACGACGATAACGATAACGACGACGACGATATAGACTAAAGCTAAACTTCCCAGTTATTCGAAACAATTTCATCTGTTAAAATAGTGTTTAGACTACTACAGAATCTAAACTTCAAAATGGATCGATTCGCCCATAGCTAGAATAAGTGGGTACCCAGCACACGGGCTACAGAAATGTTTAAAACAACCAGCAAAAGGAATCTGTGTCTGGCGCTGCAATCATACTAGAAGCAGATTCTCTAACGGGGACTTGTCCAATGTATGCAGCATCACAGTTTTCTTTAAAGTCGGAATGTGTCTGCATGAGAGGCAAGGAACCAACAGTCTGCACATAAATAAGCAAAACATCTAAATCGGATCTGTACGCAACATTCAAATCCTGGTACAAGGCTAAAGTCCAGAACTCGATTAACAACCCGGTCTTTCAGCTTGAGTTGACTTGAGTTGAGTCAAGAATTGACATCACAGCATTCGGGGCAGTACCATGTGTGCTGGGTCCTCATCTTCAGCAGTTAACGCAGAGTTCCAACACTGATTAACGGTCACATTCTAGTTATCTGTCCGTCTTGCCTTTCCTCTGAGTGTAGTGAACCGGCCAGACCCTCGGGTTACACTCAGGTGCCTCATTCTCTCCAGGCCATAATAATCGTGTTTCTCCACTGAGTCCGTTGCCTGTTCCCAAAGGGCATTTCACAACTTTTTAACGTTTAGGATAATATTCTGGCCCTTTCAAAGCCACGATATGTGGGTTTGGGACTAATTCCCTAATCTTTTCACTCTTCTTTCCCACGTGGTATTCTGAAAATCTTTTAATAAAATATTAGCATATTATACTTACGGTCGTGAGTATTGGACTCTCACTCAGTCACTAAGGAAAATGATTCAAGCTTTTGAATGGAAATGCTATAGAAAAATTCTTAGAATACCACGGATCAGGAAAAACATCGACATTCTGAACTAGCTGCAAACAAATAAGCCAGTAAAACGGATGTACACGCAAAACTCAGGTCAAGGTAAAAGCCAAAAGTCCATTTGGACGAACAACCGCGACTTACCGCCGGAATTCACAGCCGGTGAACAAGAAGAAGAAGAAGAAGAAGAACTAGCTGAACACGAAGGAGAACTGGCTCATAAACAGCATCCTGAAAGTTGAAGTATTTTGGCCACAGCAAGCGCCCTGGTGGCTTGGAAAAGACGGTAATGGAAGGAGCGGTTTGTGGAAGGCGAGGCAGGGGTCGACCACCGCGAAGTAGGATACGAGAAATAAAAAAAAAACATTGGCATTGAAAGCACAAGGGTCGGAGAGCTGGCTAAGGAAAGGGATACTTTCAGGCCTGTTGTGAAGATAGGACTTGCTGAGTGATTAGTATACTATTACTACTATTTTCTTCCTTATGAACTGAGGCATAGACTTCGAATGACATGAATATATTATAGGGAAGAAACATGCTCTCATGAACTTCTTCAAACTGTATCCATGACACAGGGTCGACTCCCAGAACTGTAGTGCTTGAAGTCCGGCCACTTCTAAGAATTTAACGACCACTGTCTCGATAGTCAACTACACAAATGCCTAAAGCAGTGGCATTACAATTTATATTGTCTGGTAATACGTGCAGCGGGAGGAAATCAACCGTGAGCTTCATGAACTCAGGCGGGCCCACTCTCTGAAAATGTCTACAAGCTCGTAGACCGAAACATTTGTCGACGAGAGATTACTTCTACTGATGATTGGTAGACTCCTGCTGTAATGCTTCCCTGTGGAGTTTCTTCTTATCTTATTGTTCGATTCATTTTCAGCGCGTGTACAATCACTCTGGACTTACCGCGGCGATTATGGAGCACATCACTGGTACAAGGACTTCCCCATCTGTAAGGACAAACCCACAAGCCGACAGTCACCTATTAACCTCGAAACTGAGAAAGTCCAATACAAATACATCAAACCTTTCATTTACTATAATTATACTTCTGTTGCCGGTGTCAGGGTGGAACTGAAGAACAACGGTCACGCGGGTAAGTTTGTATAACTGTCTCCTGCCTCTTTGGCCTCAATGTTTGGTTTGCCGTAGTTCTGGTTGATCCATACAGACCAGACTTTCTGTGTGTTACTCGCGCAGTGTACTTAATAGAAACTACTAAGTTGATGTACAGACCTAGTTGAGTTGATTCAAGAACCCACATCACTGCATTCGGGCATTTTCTTAAGTGCTCCTTTCCCATCTTCAGTAGCCAGCGCAGAGTTTTTGTGTGTGTGTGTTTTTTTTTTTTAATTCTAAACACCATGATTTGTTAACCCTTTGACTCGGTACTCTGGATAACGTAACCCTTCGGGCTTGATTTCATGACAGAGACTGTAAATCTGGGAGAAAAAATGGCTTTTCTGCCTACCTCCGGGCGTGAACATTGACCAAAAGGACCGGTCGACGCACAGTCAGGCACCTTGCGTTTCATCTGAGCTGTACAGACCTTGAGGTACTGTCAGTTTGAATTGGCCAAGTTGATTGAACTAGCCTTGTCCTAAGTAGCTATGGTTATAATTGTGGCTGTGGATAGTGCTGCTATTAATTAATTTTGTGTTTCTTGGTGTTGTTTCCATGTCTGCCGAGTTGGGTTTTCTTCGTCTCACAGTGCTGAGTGTAGGGCCTTCATCTAAGGACGTTCAAGAGAAACCTAATGCGAACATTGTCGAGTAAAGCCAAAGGACATGGACAGGATTGACCCATTATAGTGAGATGACTTCACAGGATCAAACAAAATGAAATAATAGACTGCGAATCTTATGTACAAATAATGATGCAACAGTACTATGAATCAATGCACGAATTCAGAACTATCATCTTTGAGGGGATTGCATTGCACAGATCTCTTCCCTGCTTCGGGAAAAAAGGCTGTAGGGAAAAAAAGGGGAAGGGGGGGGGGGGAGCGCTCTGTAGCTATGTGGTAAAGCCATTTGCTGTTCGGGTCACAAGTGCAATTTTTGTGGAGATTTCCTAGGGAATCGTCACTGAAAACAGGAAATTCGTCTTTTGTGCCACGTTCTAGACATGCAGCTGGAGGAAGAGATCGATCCATAATCGAGACTAATGGGATTTGCCAGTACAACGAAGTTCTGAAAACCTTTCATATCTCTCTCTCTCTCTCTCTCTCTCTCTCTCTCTCTCTCTCTCTCTTTCTCTTTTTTTTCCTCTCTCTTTACTAATAAAATACAATTACTGTGTAAAAGGTGGGTGTTTAGAAGGGCCTAATGTAAGACAGGCCTGCAGCCTCAATTTATGGCCCTTTGAAAATAAAGTTCGTTCGTTCGTTTGTTCGTTCGTTCTCTCTCCTCCTCTCTCTCCTTATCTCTCTCTCTGTCTGTTTCTGTCTCTCCTCCTCTCTCTCTCCGTCTTTCTCCGTCTCTCTCTATCTCTCTATCTCTGTCTCTCTCCCTCTCTCTCTCCAAAATACCCAGAAAGCAAGGATGTGTAGAAGGTAAACTTCATACCTACATAAAGAACACTAAAGTATTAAATTCATAATTTAGTACAGTTTGGACAGTTCATCAAAGAACAACAGCTGAGCTGGTTTGGTCGTGTGACGAGTCTGTTTTGGGCCAACTGCTACAGACACAATAAAGAAATACAATGAACAGAGAGCAACAAAGAAGACCACACAAAATATTAAGTGATGGCATCAAAAAACTTTCAGCAAAAAAACAAAGTTACGATATAACCGCCGTTTATTTTTAGGAGCTGGTTAAAAGTGACAAAAACATTTTTTTTTTAAACGAATAACGATTAATTATCAAGAACAGCCTCAAAGAAATTGAGGTTGAGGTTGAAGATTTGAACAACAGATCAACATCATGGCACACGGGTAGTAATCCATATGTGCTCCTTTCTTCTTCCAACTCAAGCCTGAGTCCGAAGAAGCTCAGCACAGTGCACAGGCTCTGTAGCACCGGCGGGGATGCTGAAATACGTTGGGCAGATTTTTAACTCCAAATATTTTACCCAGGCAGCGCCGTGAGGCTACTCTTTTCTATTTCCAACAGCCAAGGGATATTTTTACGTGCGCAACAATGCACACGGGCGTCTGATCTCACTACCTAGAAACCAGGGGAAATTACTATATGCAAGTCCACGTGAAAAAATCCCAGCTGTTACCGGGGATTGAATCCGGAACCTCTAACACTTGAGGCGGACACCATGCCTCGAGACTACACAGCCCCCTAAAAGAAATGGAGATATACTTAGTCATTTAATTAGAAAGAGCAAATAGAAGACCCCCCCCCCCCCCCCCCCCATCCTATCCCGCCTCCTTACCTCATACAAAGAAAAACACTCAAAAAACAACTTTAATAGGACATTTTAAAAAGAGTAGGTCTGCCTGGAGTTTTTGTAAACTTGTCCATGCATTTGATTGACTCCACCCTAATATGTAGTGGGTAGTTATCTATGTACATAGCATCACCATAAACAGTGAAATGAAAAAAGGGGGGGGGGGCGGTAGTAGGAACTAGACGTCTAAGGCGTCCTGAGGTCCTCGTGCAAGGTGGGTGAACCCCCCACCCTCCTATTTTTAAATCTATGTATGATGTTCGTAGATGGCTACATAAACATCTGTGTGGAGATCTTTTTTTTTTCAAGATCACCAAAGAAGCGAAAACCCAATTTTTCGACAGAGCATCATTTTAATGACTCTCAGTGAGTGGTTAATAAAAGCACGTGTCTTTCCAATTATTTACCACGCAATGAATAGACATTTGCTTGAATAGACAAGTGTCTGAAGCCGTATTAATAAAACTGAACTCTCATACTTTATGTAAACAAAAAGAACTTGTGATAAATTTGAAGTTATCATGCTAATCTCATGGTAGAATTTTCGGTAGAGAGATCTACAGCCTAAACATGTTAATGCAGTTTAGAGCGTGTGATAAATTTGAAGTTATCGTGCTAATCACATGGTTGAATTTTCGGTGGAAAGATCTACATCCGAAACATGACAATGCGATTTATGTATTTCAGCGAAAAGCATTCATTTTCGCGCTCTTTATTATGTATTGATTTTAACTATGAAGGTAATGCAACTGACGAGATACATCGAAATATAAGTAAATAAAAACTAAGTAAAGGACCCTTTTCCACCTTTGAGGCGTATTGTGTATAAAGGCGTAGACCTAAATTGTATAGACCAAACGGCACTTGGTGGGTGATGTGGTCTGCATCATGCCGGCCGCTTTTACTTCACACGACTGCACCTGGTATCCACTCAAGGCTGGGTCGACCTTGGAGCCAGAGTCATTATGAAAAAAGTCCGGGCCCCTTCAGGAACCGAACCCACGACCTTCCGAACCAGGGGCTAGCGTCTAGCCGCTAGACGATGGCGGCTCCCAACAGCGAAATATACCAGTCATGAGACTGAGCAATGTACTGTGTCCATATTGTTTAAATTTGCATAGTCTTTTATTTATCCATATCTATTACAGTTATCTGTCACCTAATTGCCTGTATCTCTGCACGCACTGTCTCTGAATATACTGTCTCTCTTTACCCACTGTTTCTAATAACACACTTTTTTTCTTTCATCTTTTGTCAATATCTGCTTGTGCCGCTAGGCGTCGCAGTTCATCAGACGATCGGCAGCCGAGCCAGGGCGAGCTCGGTCTCTTGATATGCCGTGATATTATGTAGTCTCAAGGTGTCAGTGACTCCTTCAATACATTTTCTTCTCGGTCTTTCCCTGCCTCTTGGTGTTTTGATTGTCAGGTTGTCAGATTGTCTCTTGCTGCTGGCATCGTTGGTTTCATTCTCATTAAATGGCCAAACCATTTCATTCTTAGTTTCTCCATATATTTGACCATGGGGGTTGGGGTGTGGGTTTGTTCCAACAGTTTTTGTGAACACGTCGTTTCTCATTTCACAGGTGATTAGTTTTCTCTCGAGTACTTTTGTCAGTGTTGTCTGACACTGGTAACCTTAAGTCGGTATAAATATTATATTTATAATTTGTCTTTTTTCTCTCTGTTGGGATAGCAGGGTGTTTTAAAACTGGAGCAAGTTGGTACGTGATATTGTTATCTTGTTGGATTCTTGTTTCTATCTCTCTGTCTATTTTATCATTGAATGTAAAGACTCCTCCCACGTATTTAAATTATTGCACTTGTTTCAGACTTGATCTTTGATGTTTTTGTCGATGGTTTGTTGCTCTCTACTTATTCTCATGACCTCTGTGCTTTTTTTTTTTTTTTATATTCATCTTCATTTGATGTTTGAGGCAACTGATTTATGTTGTCCTGCAGATGTTTACTTTCACAGTGGAACATGCACTGATCTTCGACAAAGAGCAGCTCATTGAAGTCCTCCTGTTTATCAGCAACTGGTGGTGTTATGTCTATTTTAATAATATTGTCCATTAATATTATAAAAAAGTAAAGGGGAAAGAACACACCCCTGCCTTACTCTTGATGTTACTGCGAACCAGTATGTGAAGCCAGATTTTCTTTTTTTTTTTTAATGGTGCTTTCACTTTCTCTATAAATAGCTCTTACACAATCTAACATTGTTCCATTTATTCCATAGTTTCCAAAGACATCCAATAGTAAATCTCTGTTCACTCTGTCAAAAGTCTTGTCTTGATCTATAAAAGCGATGTTCATTTAGTGTACGTGTTCTATTGTCTTTCTGCTAATTTTTCTAAGGGCGAAAATAGCGTCAGCATACTCTCTTCCTTTCCTGAATCCGACCTGTGCTGGGGTCAGAATCGGTTCTACAACAGATCTAATTCGTTGTTCCAGAATAGCTCACTCATACCCTGAATTCACTCCTTCTCTGAATTCCCGACTTTTTTTAATTCACTCTTGATTCTGTTTCACTGCTTCTCATTTTTTGCTTCTCTTGATTTTTTAACTCACTTTCTCCTAATACACTATTTCTCTTACTTCAATGTGTGTCTCCTAATTCACTGTTGCTTTTAGTACAAATTTTCTCTTAATTCAATATTTCTTTATAAGTCATTGTTTCTCTAAATTCATGTGTTCTCTCAATTCCCCATTTTTATTTCACTGGTAGCTCAAATTGACATCACTGCCGGCAATTTTCACATTTTTGGAGGCGGGCTGCAGAACCCATACAAGGCGGCACAGCTGCACTTCCACTGGGGAGGGGACAACACACGTGGTTCCGAACATTTGATCGATAATCAAGCTTATCCAATGGAGGTAAGACGTTGCTTCTACTTCTAATGGGCGTTATGTTGAATAAAAACTATATTTACCTGACATCATTGCCATCAAGTACCTTGCAGACTGGCGTGGGCCATCATATCTCTCCGCAATCAGCCATATTCAACTGTGCGTATCAGCTCGTGTGTTGACACCCCTCCCTATCGCGGTGCCGCATTGATGTCCTGTAAAGGATATGTAATTAAACTTATATTGAAATAAAAATCTTTACATAGCACGTGTTTTGCGGCACATCTTTCTTCAAAATACATCGGACAAAGTCTCCATTCATCACTCGTGTGATCATGGTCTTTTCGCAGAAAGTGTTCAATGGAGAGGCAAAAAATTTATCATTACGGTCTGGAGAGAATGGTTCAGCTAAGTGGGACCACGGGATCTGGTCAACACTCTACACTCAAAGGAAAAGCGGGAGACACTTTTAACTCCCCGCTGGCTGCTGAAATCGAGGACGGAGCACTTATGAGAATCTCCTGTGTCCTATGATGTCAGTTCTTAAGTCAACGCAGAGCATCTTCACGGAGTCCTTGATTGAAACAAAACATTGTATTCCCAAGCTGGTATTGCATAAATAAATTGGACAAAGGACAGGACCAATGAGAGAAGTATGTGCAGTCCGGAGCAAGTAGCGTTGATGAGATTAGGATTTTGAACTTTCTGAGGAGTTGTAGGTGTTTCCCCTGCCAAAGGTTGAATGCGATTTATATATTGATCGATATATTGATCGCTCTTTCGATCTATTGATCGATCTTTTGTCCTCTCCGAGTTTCTATATTACAGTTTACGACCCTGCAATTTAAAATAGAATCTTAGTCTAGATGGCAGACCAACAGGGAAAATTTAAAATAGCCCGTGCAACCTCGAAAGAAGTTATAATGAATGCCTACTTGACACGTGTACCAGCCCGGTAAACCTGTAGTCCTGTGCGGGTAAGGAAGTTGCATACTTGTGGGTGAGTAAGTGAAGTTGAACCCTTTTAGGACCGCACACTGGGAAATTAACATACGATGATGCAAAAGTTGAAAATGTCACTAAAGTAAGAACCACCAAGGTACAAATGCCAAAAACTGCATTCAACCATAAGGTTATATTGGAGGTTGGCGTCTATGGCTTGGGCGTTGTGAATTCGCTTCCTAATGCCGGGGTGCCGGATTCGATCTCAGTTTCGGACGTTTTGTCTTGTGCTTGTTTTCACAGTGGTACCGAGAGCTGACCTTTCAGTAAGCAATGGCAAAACTATTGAACATAACATTTGCCTAGAAAAAACCACAACAGCCAAAAACGCTGGGGTTGGTTCTGCAACGTCCTGTAAAGGACACGTAACTATTTTACTTTTTTTTTTAATATTAGTGGAGAGGAAAAAGGGGAGGGGGTGGGGCTCTTCTTTCCACAACCTTCTGTGTCGTGTACTTTCAGTCTACTCTGACACAGATGATCCTCCATGCCATGTGTCGTTGGTAGTCATGAAAATCCCCAACCTTCCATCTCATGTACTTTCAATTAACTCTGACACAGACGCTTCTCCGTGCCAAGACGTCAGACTGCCCAGCATCTTTTCTCTCGGTAATCTCTCTCTCTCCCTGTGCCTCTCCTCCCCTCGAACACTCCTATTCTCACAATGTACTCCAGGTTTTCTCCTTTTCATGACAAGACCGAATAATGTAGTCGGTCTATTTCTGATGTGGCCAGTCGGTTACCTTAGTCAGTTTCTTACAAGACATCCTCATTACTCTTTTTATCTACCCAAGGTATTCTCATCATTTGTCTATATAAACCACATCTCCGCAGTTTTAAATAATTTTCAGGAATCTACCAACTGTCCAGAGTCAGGCATATTAAGGGGTCACTACGCAACAATTTTTTTTTTTAATTTACAGTGTTAGAGCAATTATTTTATAATAGTCATTAGAAGGGATACCTGTTAGTTCATTTGCATACTTCAAGTACGGAAAAATCATGGCTGTCATGGCAATAGCCGCCATCTTGTGGGGGAAAAAAACATGAACTTAGAATCCTAAAATTTCAGAAACTAACATACGTATTAGAAAATAGATGATAGATACATAATTTTTTTTTTTTTCAATTTAGAGGTACAGATGTAGTTTAAACATGTTTTTAAATATTTTTGTACAATTTTAAAATGTGGGTTTATTGAAAAAGTCGAAAAAATCTTGCATCATAAGAAAATAATTAAATATAAAAAAAATAAAAAAAAAAACTTTATAAAATCTACTTTTGAAAAGACCAGTTTCTATAGTATTGTTTAAGGAGTATTCATACTAAATTTCATGTTTCTGGCCTTTAAATTATCTGAGATTTTATGATTTCACCCACACAATAAACAGAAATATAGAGATGTGAGAAAACTGAAATTTAAACTTTTTTTTTAATCTTAAAAAAGTGCATGGGGTAGTGTCTTTAGTATTACCTTTTCAAAGCTAAATTGTTTACACGTGATATAAATTGACATAAATTTTGCGTGTAATCCATTCAAAGAATGCCGAACTTTTCAAAAACGAAATAATTAAAAACGTTATATTTTTGTCATAAATTTGAAAAAATGCCGTGTAGTGACTCCTAAAATCGGAAACACTAATTTTTACGAGAGATGGCCTCGTATGATGGTTTTATAAAAGGGTAATTTCTCTGTTTATGAATTGCCTGCATTCATATCGAAGTCGTTGTCACCTTTCCGTCTTTCTAGATGACTGTATTCTATTGTGTTATAGAGAACCATGGATCTCACAGTATCTGGCGATGGCGAGTTTAACACCTTCACATTGCAGCCGACACACTAATTTTTCCTGACACACATTTTAGAGCCGACACACTAATGTTTCCTGACACACATTTTATAAAGCTCTTCTTCTTCTTCTTCTTCTTCTTCTTCTTCTTCTTCTTCTTCTTCTTCTTCTTCTTTTTCTGCTATAGTTAATAGTTTGCAATATTTGACTTCACACAGGTGCATATTGTACACTACAACACCATCTATCCAGACCTGACAACTGCTGTCTCCAAGTCCGATGGTTTAGCTGTTCTTGGATTTATGTATGAGGTGAGCTCTCCATTTGTCTTTTTTTTTTTTTTTTTTGTCCTTTGTCCAGAAAAGTGTGCTGGCACTCGTAGTTAAAAGAGTGGCATAGTTACAGTAACAACTGTGTGGTGTAAAGTAACAACTGTGTAGTGTAAAGTAACAATTGTGTAGTGTAAAGTAACAGCTGTGTGGTGTACAGTTAAATTAATAACTGTGGAGTAGAGTTGAAAATCTGTTTTGTGGTCTAAAGGTAAAGTAACAACTGTATGAAAGTAGCCGTTGTATTGTATGGTGTAGATAAGTACGGCAACTCTGTGGTCTAAAGTAACAACTGTGTGTTTAGAATTAAAGTAACAACTGTGTGTTTAGAATTAAAGTAACAGCAGTGTGTTTAGAATTAAAGTGACAATTGTGTGTTCAGAATTAATGTAACAACTGTGTGTTTAGAATTAAAGTAACAACTGTGTTTAGAATTACAGAAACAAATGTGTGTTTAGAATTAAAGTAACAACTGTGTGTTTAGAATTAAAGTAACAACTGTGTGTTTAGAATTAAAGTAACAACTGTGTGTTTATAATTAAAGTAAAAACTGTGTGTTTAGAATTAAAGTAACAAATGTGTGTTTAGAATTAAAGTAACAACTGTGTGTTTATACTTAAAGTAACAACTGTGTGTTTAGAATTAAAGTAACAACTGTGTGTTTGGAACTGAAGTAACTACTGTGTGTTCAAAATTAAAGTAACAACTGTGTGTTTAGAATTAAAGAAACAACTGTGTGTTTGAACTGAAGTAACTACTGTGTGTTTATACTTAAAGTAACAAATGTGTGTTTAGAATTAAAGTGACAATTGTGTGTTCAGAATTAAAGTAACAACTGTGTGAAAAGTAGCCGTTGTATTGTTTGGTGTAAAGTAACAACTGTGTGGTGTAGAGTTAAATTAACAGCTGTGGGGTAGAGTTGGAGTAGTAACTGTGCGATCTGGAGTGAAAGTAACAACTGTAAATGAAAGTAGCAATTGTACTGTATCATATAATGTAACAACTGTGTGCTGTAGAGTTAAATAAGCAACTGTGGGGCAGAGTTAAAGTAGTTTAAAGTTAAAGTAACAACTGTGTGAAATGTAGCAACTGTAATGAATGGTGTAGCGCAAGTTTAACGATTTTATAGTGTAGAGTTACAGTAACAACTTAGTGGTGTAGAGTAAGTTTAACGATTGCAGGTGTAGAGTTACAAAAACAATTGTCTGATGTGAAGTAAATTAAAAATTTTGCGGTGTGGAGTAAGTTTAACAATTGTGTGGTGTAGATTACAATAACATTCGAGTGGTGTAGAGTAAGTTTAACAACTGTGTGCCGTTGATTACAATCACATTCGAGTGGTGTAGGGTAAGTTTAACAAATGTGTGCTGTAGATTAAAATAACATTCGAGTGGTGTAGAGTAAGTTTAACAATTGTGTGCTGTAGATTACAATAACATTCGAGTGGTGTAGAGTAAGTTTAACAATTGTGTGCTGTAGATTACAATAACATTCGAGTGGTGTAGGGTAAGTTTGACAATTGTGTGCTGTAGATTACAATAACATTCGAGTGGTGTAGAGTAAGTTTAACAATTGTGTGGTGTAGAGTTACAATAACAATTGAGTGGTGTGAAGTTCAAGTAACAATCCCATAGATATAAAACAACTAATGTCAGATACACCAAGAACTTGCATTTCCCTTTCAGTTGACAGAGGAATCTAATCCAGCGTATGATGTTCTTGTGCAGAAACTCAATGACATCCGCTCTCCAAGTAAGAGATCCTGTCTGTTGTGTATATTATAATATTAAAACCAACATTGATGAGAGAGGCCAAAGCTGCTAAACTGATTCCATCCATGGTATTGAGCTGATTGTATAACATAATGAAAGATTGGAATGCGAGCCCTGTCTGACATACAATAGCACAGCAGGATAAAGATCATGATATCAAGTTCACTGTGTGGGTTCTGTCGACCATTGGGAGGGGCGGGAGAAGGGTAATCTACAAAGATGTCGTAACAGGTGACTAAGATTTTGCAGAAATTAGGTCCAAAAGATATTTCAGTTTAACTGTAAACCAAAACACAATGCGCCAACTGCCCTCTACGAACGAACACAGAAGAACTTCAACCAGGCTTCCAGGGACGTGTGAAGCACTCAGATTCATCCAGACTGCCCCCCCCCTCCCTTCCTTTCTTTAACCAGGATTCCAGAAACGCCTGAAGCACTCAGATTCATCCAGACCCCCCTCCCCCTTCCTTTCTTTAACTAGGTTTCCAGAAACGCCTGAAGCACTCAGATTCATCCAGACCCTCCCCCTTTCTTCAACCAGGCTTCCAGAGACGCCTGAAGCACTCATGTTCGCCCAGACCTTCCTCCTTTCTTCAACCTGGCTTGGGCCTGGTCTTAGCGGAGTTCACAGTATTTCTTTTACCTAAATCGTTTGTGAACGTTTGGGGAAATATGGGTATTATGCTACTCAAGAAAAGAAAAGATATAAACCCGAACGAAAAGTATACAGGCAAGCTTCACAATATAACAAATACAAACAAAACGTGAACGTTGCGGCTGTTGAGCCTTCATCAGCACACACAAATGAAACAATGCTACACAGAAACACAACAGACTTAGCTGGTATCCCGAGGCAAGAAAAGAAACGATTAACTATCTGATGGCGTGTTCTGAAGAACGCCTAGTTATCAGATATTGTGTTTAGTAGTTTCCGTAAAAGCCAGTACGCCTAAAAACTGTCGACGATAGAGATGCAGAAGAATTGTCAGTTCATTGGCTAAATGTGTTTTTGTATGCAATTTGAACAGTTTTTTTTCCCCACTCTTTAAATTACAACATTGTGAATGTAAAAATTATGATATTTATGTCCCTTTCGGTAGTTATGCAGTTAACTGTTTTTTTCTAGTATAAATAAAAATTGCTATAACT